CCATATGCTGGGTAAGCAGTATGGCGTACGGTTCTGATCGTATGACCAACAATCTTGCTGAATCCATGGGATTACTGATGGGTCTCCGGGCATGCCTTCAGGAGGGGTGGTCCCCCCTTCATGTCATCGGTGACAGCCATTTGATCTTGCAGCAGCATAGAACGAGGAAACCGCCCAGAGCGGCACATTTACAGAGCGTGTACTTCCAGTGTCAACGGGCCGCAGACCAGTTGACAGTGGTCACATGGCAGCATCACTATCGTGAATACAACCGGATGGCTGATGCCTTGGCTAATATGGCCATGGATGACAGGCGTAGTGTCCAAGTCAAGCTAGGGCCAGGAGGTGGTCCCACCGAGCAGTGGGCAGTGGTATACACACATGCGGCCAATGACGTCGGACATTGGCTGCAGCGGGAAACGGATAAGGGCCTCTTGGGGCCCACGGCCTCTCCACTGTAAGCGGAGCAGGTCGCCTTATGCCAGTAAGGCATAGGGAAGGGCGGTTGGATTGAGACAGCCGCCGTCAAGGTCATAGGGTGTCGTTAGGTACTTCCAGTAGTTAAGTGACAGCCATGTTCCAAAAAAAAAAGAGGGGATAGGTACATCTTAGTGTTTGTGAACTACTTTACGCGATGGGCAGAAGCTTTCGCGGTCGCCTCGCTGGAAACTATCTCCTTCGTGAACGTAATGATAGAGGAGTAATTAGTCGACATGGCGTTCCAGAACGCCTACTGAGTGATCGTTAAACCAACTTCACGTCAGACCTGGCCAAGTCGGTATACCAAACGCTGGATATCAAGAAGCGGTATGGTGCTGCCTATCACCCACAGACACAGGACCTTGTGGAACGATTCAACGGAACGCTGATGGAAATGTTAAGGATGTTCGTGAACGAGACGCAGACTGGCTGGGATATGTACTTGCCACGGGTTCTCTTCGCCTATAGAGCGGATATCCACGAGGGACGAGGAGACACGCTGTGCTTCAGTTTTTATGGGCGTGACCCAGTGTTACCGATTGACCTGGCGTTCCTGAAACCCGGGCAAGGACTGGAAGCGCAATGAAGTCGCGGTGTTTTGGAGGAAACTCTATCTTTCGCTGCGCGACTCACGTCGTCTCATGGAAAGACAACTACTCAAGGCCCAGAATCGGCACGAGCAACAGCTTGACAAACAGGTGAAAGTGTCTTACGAAGAAGGAGATGCACTTTGGGTGTATCAGTTCTTCCGAGCGCGCGCTGGGGAACGCCGAACCAAGAAGCTGGCGTTCTCCTGGCACGACCCATACCGAGTAGTCGGCCAAGTCGGGGAGAGCGCCTATAAGATCTCGATCCCCATGCACCCCAACCGAATCGTCACGGCAAATGCGAATCGCCTGAAACGATTCCGTAGTCGTTGGAGTAGGCCGTTCGCGGATGAGAGGCCTGAAGAAGCCGAAGAGAACACCTCCGAAGATGGAATGGGCGCTGCGAGAAGGAGACCTTCCTTCGACCAGCTTTGTGGAACGCTTGAATGTTGGTGGAGAGGAAACTGCCTTTTCGGGAGTATCGTCGCCTGTCGTGGATGTGTTGGCCAAAAGGGTGGAGAAACGCGAGGTTCAGTATTTGGTGCTCACGGCAACGTATGAGACTTTCTGGCTGTCTCGAGCGGCTTTGGCGCCCGAGTTTGGAACGCTGATTCGTGCTTTCGAAGATGCAGACCGCCGAAAAAGGGGTCTGCGGGAACTATGTCGGAACGCCAGGTTGGTAGAAGCCAACGCTGACGTGGACAACGCCGAGATACTGTTCTAGCAGGGGTAGTCCTGTTGGGATGAGTAAGGTCAGGGACTGCACGGGAGGAAGTGGAGAGTGCGAGGGACTGGCGAGGTCTCTGCGCACGGCGTGATGGTTTTTCTTACATTTTTTGGGTTGTTTCAAGTTGATTCGGTGGTGGAACGGCTCGACGGTGTCGAAGGGAGAACAACGTGTTTGGCTAGTGGAACGGGTTTGTGATAGAACGCTGTGAGTAACGGCGAGCGGTTGGAAATAGGTGTGTGAAAAGAAGGAGGGAGAAGTACGGAGAACATGAATACGAGATTCAAGAAGGAGCGCTATGAGAAGTACAGAGAGCATGAGTACGAAGTCCAAGAAGGAACACAACATTAAGTGTTAAAAAGAAGAATGGCACAAAAGACGCGAAACTGGAGCGCCGGAACGCTACTTGCTCGAGGACTCCTTGTCGTCTTCATAATCTTCGTCGTCCTCGGCATCGTCTTCACCCAAGATCTTCCTCTTCTTCTTCTTCATCGAGATCATCAACCTCTTCGCCTGTCGTTTTCTTGTCCGCCGCAGGAGATGATGGCTTCTCGTCGTAGTCGTCCTCTTCGCCGTCTTCGAAGTCGGACCAGTCGTCGCGCTCGATCTCTGCGCGAGTCGGTGCGCCCACACAAGGTTTCTCGTAGGAGCCTCGATGATATGGGCCGTTATCAGGTCTAGAACCTGCTTGACCGCGTAATTGTTTACGATCGACTTTCAGGGCTCGGCCGACCGATCTTCTACCCAGGGGTCCTTGGGCCGTACGCTGGACATGATGTTCTTGCGGATGCGTGCCAGTGCCGCGATCGTGAGACGGTTTTTCTCGGGTTAGCGCTTCAGTAGACTCCAAGAAGACGCGCACGCTGGGGTATCCGTAGGCGTCTATCTTGGCGGAATCCAAGGCGTTCTCAAGGGTGGCGGCGTATCTCTTCCGATCCTTGTTGCGAAGAACGGCTAGGTCGTCCGCGACTGACCCATCGTACTTACGCGCCTCACGAGAATAGCGACCGGGTTGCCCTCCCAACCACAACATCTCGGGGTGCTGGTCTAACTTCTCCATGAAGACGTAGAACCCCCATGTCTCGATGCACGTGCTGGTGAAGGCGAGACGGGCATGGATGGCGCGCATCTTGAGCTTGCGACGGTTCGATTGATCCGTTCCGGGCTCGAGTGGAGGGTGAAACGCCCACTCCCAGAAGGCGCGGCGATTCGCCATCCAGAATCGCCAATGGGCGCGGAGCACGTGCCGGTACTAATTGGGATCGTAGTTGAGCGTCCTACCCGACCAAGGGAACGCTAGACACCACAGTTTCTTGCCGGCTTCGGCCGCCTTCGCCAGAACGGCTACGATTGCCTTGCGAACCGGAGCGGGGGCAGTAGAGCTCAACTCAAGGAGGTCGCTGAAGTCCTCGGCAGGGACGTCAGCCGCCTTCTTGCCCTTGCCAGTGGAACGCTTCTTCTTGGCCGGCGACTTGGTGGCCGAGTCTTCGTTCGCCTTGCGCTTGGAACCCTTACGAAGCTTGGGCGACGACGAAGCACCGCTGGAAGTTGACGAACCTGGAAGAGACGGGAGGATCACCACAGGACCCTGGAGAGTGGCCGCCGCGTCGCCGTTGAGGACGTCTTGAGTCGGTTGCTGTAGGTAGCCCAGACCCGACGACTGCGGGTTGCCGCCAAGACGCGACAATAAGTCGTCGAAGAACGCCTCGTTGGGGACGCGGGCGTCGCTGCCGAACGTGCCCAGCTCGTCTTGGTCCAGGGCCGCGTGAAGAACCTGATGGGCCTTCTTCCGCTCTGCCGAAGTGAACCGTGTGGACATGGCGAAGGAGCGAGGTGTCGAGGAAGAGGGGTGTGGCCCGAGGGAGGAGATTAAGGAATGAGATATTACTGGAGGGGAGTTTCAGTTTGATGGCTGACCTTGGCGTGCGTGCGGGTTGCAACCTTGGGAAGTGGCGCCGAGAACGGAACGGTCTGATGGAAAGTGACCCAGAAAGGAGCGGTCGACCTTTCAAGGAATGGGGATTGCCACTTGAAGATCATCAGGACTTATGAGTGATCGGGTTGCCTGGACGTCTCCTCTAGCGTGGGTCGAGGACGGCGTCGAACCAAAGTTCGTGGGCAGTGCAGTAGTGAACATCGTAACGTGGGCGATAACCACGCCTTTGCGGAACGTCTCGTGGGCGTTCCTGGCGGGCCTAGGATACAACGTTCAAGCGGCCTACTTCTTCTTCTACACGTGTGGCGAGCGGTTTGTAGGAGCGGCCCGCGACGCGTACGCGCTCGCCTTGCTACCGTCAGAGCTCGCGACGTCCCTGTTGACCCTGGCCTTCCTGGTTCCGATAGCTGTGCTGAGGGACTACGAGGAACGCTCTGGGATCGTAAGACGCCTCTGTTTGAAGTGGTGCGAAGCGTTCCATCACTCCTGGTGCCTGTTCTTGCCTGAAGCGGCACGGCTACTGTGGGCAGCCACCGGAAGGTACGCACGAGCTACGAAGGAAGCTACCGTTGCTGTCGCTGACAGAGTAGGTGACCTCGTCGTCGGTGGGTACCTGTTGACGACGCTGCTCCTGTCTTTCCTGATCTACGTACCGCGGATGGTGTATGAAGGTACTGAAGGAGTGCCTCATGGCTGGATGGGTGGGCAAGGAGGCAAGGCGAGGACACCGAGAGGTAGTCGGGGAGATTTGTCACAGTACACAGCTAGAAGGAGGACTCGCCATTCTCTCGGACTGCGTCCGGAAGATCTGCTTGTTGCAGAAGTCGCAGGCCCCGTCCAAGCAACTGCGCCCTCCGGACCAATCGTCAGCGTTCCAAGCTTAGAGTGGAACGCCTTGCCGTCGACAAGGGTGGGAATTTGCGTTGGACCTCTGCAAAAGTAAGGAGCCTAGTGCTCAGCTGGGGGCTTTAGGTAAAAGCTCAGTCGTAATTTACCTTCTTACAAGAGAAGTGCTCAAGAATACAACAACAGCTTTACATTTACGTGATAAACCTGAGCTCCTACGTCGGCCTGCTAGATACACGACTTCGACCTAAGGAGGATTACCGCGACACATGTATCAAGATATTAGCTGTAGCATTAGGTGTGGCTGATCCATTTTTCAATTCTCTATTTTGAATTAAATCATGCATGCTTTAGAAATAGTAGATATATAATATTTTCTTAAATAATTGGAAGAAACTCGTGAAGATCACGCTCATTGAGCAGCATGGAGAACTACCACATCTTGGAGCGTATCGGCGAAGGGTCCTTCGGGAAGGTCTACAGGGGTCGCCGCAAGTACTCGGGGCTCATTGTCGCGCTCAAGTTCGTGACAAAGCAGGGTAAAAGCGCTCGAGATCTCGAGAATCTACGCCAAGAAGTAGGTATCCATCCCCCCTAGAGTAACAAAGAAATCCAACAAAGTCTGAAAACTTACAAAACACTGTCCTTGGTAGATCAATATCCTCCGACGACTAAACCATTGCAATATCATCGCAATGATGGACTCGTTTGAGACAGAAGGAGAGTTCTGTATGGTCACAGAATACGCACAGGGAGAGCTCTTCCAGGTCCTAGAAGACGAACACAGTCTCCCCGAAGAGGAGATCAGGACAATCGCCATTCAGCTCATTCAAGCGCTTCATGTTCTGCACTCCAACCGCATAATCCACCGAGATATGAAGCCGCAGAACATCCTTATTGGCTCCAAGCAACAGATCAAACTCTGCGACTTCGGCTTCGCTCGTGCCATCGCACACGACACGAGTCTGTTGCGGTCGATCAAGGGCACGCCACTGTATATGGCTCCAGAGCTGGTGCAGGAGAAACCCTACAACTACACGGTGGATCTGTGGTCTCTAGGCGTCATTTTGTACGAGCTGGCAACAGGGAGGCCTCCCTTCTACACAGACCGGATCGTGTCGCTGATCCAGATGATCGTACGTGACGACGTCGCGTATCCGTCCGCAATGTCTGCAGAGTTCCAGACGTTCCTCAAGGGATTACTGAACAAAGACCCCGCGCAGAGACTCAAGTGGCCCGAGATCTTACAACATCCCTTTATACAAGAAACACCCGACCAATTAGAGACGCGTCTTCAGCTCGAGCGTCAAGTTCGCACTCTGCCTCGATTCTTCAAGGACAATGAGCTGCACAAGTCGCCAGGAGGCGACAATGAAGAGAAAATTAAGCCGAGTGTGGAGCGTCTGCGCTCCAGTGGCGAGTGGAAGATATGCGACCCGGAAACTGGTCGACAGCTCTCTAAACCGGAGACTCCAGTCGAGCATACTGTCAAGACGGAAGTTCCCACACCTCCAGCGGACGAAAGTAACAACCGTGAGCCATCTCCACCTGCTCGACCGGTTCGTTCCGTGGTTCTCGAGAGTTTTCTAACTGTTTGGGGTCAGATCAGTCGACAAATGGACGGGAAACAAGTCGACGATAAGCTCTTGAGAGCGCCACTATTCGCCAATGCCGTCAGTCTGCTACCGTCGATCCCTACTGCGGATCTATCCAGCGACGTTTGCATCAAAATTGGGTCTTTGCTGCAGCTGCTGTACCGCTCTTTAGTGCTTGAGCTGAAGAAAACGGATCAACTAACAGAACTCAGTGGCTTACTGCAGTCTAAAGACAAGATCCATCGCTTTCTGACCCACTTGGTGGAGACCAGTAGGGAGCTGCAAGTCAACCAAGAACAGACTAGCGACGTGGTCTACAAGTGCGTGCGATGCTGTATGATCTACACAACGATCATCAACTCGATGGAATCTGGAAACGATTTAGAACATTTAGATTATCGCGAGTTCTGCAAAGGCGACGTCGACGTGATCTCGCAGCTATTGACTTGCAAGGACGAAGTCGTGGCAGCTTCTCACTCTAAAATCCTGAAGTGGCTGGGCTCAATGATCGATCGCTCGCAGAATCTAACGACGCTCCTCGAGGTCGTGTATCCATGTGGAGTGATACAAACCTTATGTAGAATCCTCCATGCGTCGGGGATTTCACGTTCTCCAGGGGGTAGAATCTCCCAAACCGGTCGAGACTTGGGTCTGTACTCCGTGTTCGCGTTGGCAGCTTTCGTCCAGCCTGATGCCAAGTGCTGGAGCCCTCTCCAACCCTTTCCTGTGCTGACTCTAGTTCGTGACGATACAGAGCCCATGGAGACGTCCAGTCTACGAGATGTGAGGCATCTATACAAACTTCGGGTAAAAGTCCACTCGGATGTCGGCTCTCAGCTGCTCAGCAATGGCGTCGGTGAACTCATCGCCTTACTTGGGGATGAAATTAACGAGCGAGTGCGACTGAAACAAAGCGAGACTGAGGGCGAGGCAGACATTGGCGAAGAAGACGCGGACCAGTCCACTATCTGCTGCATCCTAAAGATCCTGATGCACGCGTGTCGGTCCTCTGCGCCTCTCTCGAAGAAGCTCACAGTCACGAAAATTGTGTTCCAGAAACACCGTGACACCGACATTTTCACTATTCTCCAATGGGGGTTTTCGTCCAACGGGTTACACCAGATCGAGCAGTACTTTGCAACGGAATTATTGTCAGTCATCCTACGTCGCGGTGTGCTCCCGAAGCGGCAGATCTGGCGCTGCGCACAGACGTTGTTCCCTGTGCTTCACGACGCGAACGACACGGCCTTATTGAGTGCGTTGAGCACGTTTTTCGCTGAGATTATCGAGACCTGCAACATGGACGAGTCTGCACTTGGCAACAATGGCAACCCTGACGCTTTAGAGTCGATGGATAAGGAGCTGTGGGACTTGGTAGTTCACGGGGCGCTTACTTCGCGCTGTTCTGATGCAATTTTTCGGTTATTTAGCAATAATTCCACTGACGAAGACGGGAATATCACGAAAGCGCAGATGCTCACTAGCTACAATATTCGAGCACAAGGACTGCTAGACTCTGGCATTGTTTTTTTGCTACGAGTGGCGTCAAAAGTTGCCCAATCACGAGATGCAACTGCTAAGTTAAATCACACCGAGGAGATGAAATTATTCAGGTCGGTTTTCCAACAGGATCAAGTCTGGGAGGTTTTTGACGAGATGATGGCAACCGGCGGTGGAGATCTCCTCTCGCCTTGGGGGTTGTTCTGCTTCCTCAAGCTACTGCGCCTTGTCCGTGAGTTGCAGTGCAACGAGCTGCAAATGGAGATCGCGGTGAACGAACATTTGTTGCTGCATTTGGTAAATTTACTCGAGTTGAAGCACATCGAGTATCTTTTCCAGTGGCCAGAGATCGTTGGGGGGGGCAGCAACGCCGTCAAGGCGCTTGTACACGCCACTGTCAAGGTCCTTGGTATTCCTTTCGCCCATAGCGTGTCGGAGGAGCTCCTTGTGGACACGCAGGAAATCCTGTACGATGCCAAGTGCGTACAGAAACTGCTTGGTGTGCTCCGGTTCGTCTTCTCGACGAAAGAGTTGCAACTCGAGGCGTCGGTGCTAGAGCTACCGATCAGCTTTCTGTCGCGACTTGTGACCAGTTCGACACATTTTGGGTCACAATTTGTGGAAGCGGACGGAATGATGGTCATTAAAGAATGTGGGATGCTGAGTAGCAGCTACTCACCTTCCTTGATCATCGACGCGCTTTTAATTGTGAGTCAACTGGCCCGCAGTTCCCAGGACAACTACGAGTGCATTCTAAGAGCCGATTTGCTATCAGAGTTCTACGAGCTGACACAACACGCAGAGGCCATGGTGCGTGCAAAAGCCTTAAATTGTATTGGGAATTTGTGTCGACACTCGACACTTTTCTACGAGCAGTTAATTACACCACTTAGCGGAAAAGCGTCCGATACGGTTCTAGCTGGAATGATTCGAGGATTATCCGACCCGGACAACTACGTTCGGCGGTTTGCGTGCTTTGCCATTGGTAACGCAGCGTTCCACACCGGAGATCTGTACGACGCACTTCGTCCTGCGATCCCTCTCTTGGTGCAGAATCTTCACAATGACGAGGATAAAACGCGCTCAAACGCCGGAGGAGCACTCGGAAACCTCGTTCGAAACTCGGACGAGTTGTGCGAGGCACTCTGCGGAAATGACGCTCCTTGGGAGCTCTTTGAGTTGGCAATGACGGAGACTAGTACGGCTTCTCGACGCATTGTACTTTTTTCTCTTGGCAACTTTTGTGTGTATCCGGAATGCTTCAACTTTCTTGTTGAGGCGGAGCCGGCTTTTGTCGAAGAGCTAGAGCATCTGTACGAAGAAGTAGTCGCTGATGAGGTTTCACAACGAAACATCCGCCGCATCATCGCGAAGATCGAGGCTCTGGAAAATGAACAGGGGCTAGACCACGAATAGCTTGCTAACATGTACCACTTCGAAGAACTTAAGTACTTCGATACTACAGACAGTACTTGTATTCCGTTAAACGTTTCTTAAACTAGTGATACATTTCAAGTGGTGTTGTACGATCCTCTTTTTTTACATGTGAAAGTTTGGCACAGTAATTTAAAGCAGCTGAAAACTCGATTTGCGCTAGATGAGGCAGACATTTAGTTTAATTGCTGGAGCGTTTTAGAATAGTCGATACAAAACTAGATTGGTTACTCTTGTGGCCTCTGATTGGCTGGATTATTGTAAGTATGTTTTATCTCTATTTTAGAAATCTTCAATTAAAAAAGACTTATTTGCTGCAAAGCGCAACAGAGTTTGGTTATTCGGTAGCAGAGCAAGCCCCTGGTGTCCAAACTGACCATGTAAAGGTATCTTCAGTCTTCATCACGTAATGTACCGGTATTAATAACGTACTACGTAGTAGTTTACCAATTCATGGACCTGATCAGTTCAAGAGCTAGCGTGTTTTTTTTCTAATCCAACCATCTTATTTTTGCTTTAGGGTCCTGTTATTGGCTCATTCGTTTCTTAGAGCTGGTCGGGTCCATGAATCTTAAACATCTACTGCAGCAACCTGTCTGTCCGTCACACTAAATTGTCGTGCCTGTCACGCTTTTCCGGACAAATCATTGGATAAAATAATTTAAATATTCCTACTGGCTGCCGAGCGCAGCGAAGGTGGCTTCAATTGGTTAAAACTAGAATGTGTAGTTGACATCAATAAATGCATGTGTTTCCCAGTTTACATATGGGGATTTGCACAAAGTCCGAAGGCGGCATCGTTTAAATATTAAATACTTTTTCATAATGCATGTTGTTATTGATATTTGAATACTACAGTAAACGGAGGGTAGGGTGCTTAGCGTACACGTAAGCATGCGTGTTTCCGAGGACATGGTTTAAGTATACTAAATACTCTGTACTCAGTAGGATCTGTGTGTTACACTGACTAAAATGAAATTTCATTTTTCTTACTGCAAAAATATTAGCATTAATAAGTTATCTGAGTGGGTTTCTGGTATTGCTAAATCGTACATGTTACATGTACAGCAGTAGCCGGTCGTGTAGACTGGCCGTAAGAACAAAACTGTGCTTATAAACGTTGTCACTTGATCCACAAAGATATATAGTGTTAGATTGACGTGTGAACAAAAAGAAGTTATATGTGCTGATGACAATTACTACTGTAAGCGAATTGAACTTGACCATTGTTTCCTTAGCGTTTTTTTAGACAACAAAATTCTGATACTTCTTAATAGGTAGACGCGTTGCCGACAAGGGCGTAAAATAAGGTTTTATATGCAGTGGTAAGATAACAGCACAACATGAGAGGTGTCAATTTTGGTTATTATAAGAAGGCCCGTAAAGAAACGTTAATCAACTTAGAGCCTAATATTTTGGAATCATCAATTAAGTATCAAATAAAAATACCGCCGTCAACAACAACAACAGCAAGGCGTCTTGCGACGCATGGTTATATTCAAAGGCTATAAGCATAACAGGCACAGATTGAGTGTCTAATGACTAATTCTGAATCAGCACAAAATGAACACACTTCAAGGCATAAAAAAATGCTACAGCTTGAATATTTTTATTAAATATTCAAACTGTAACACTTTTAATTTTCTTTCAAAGTAGCGAGTTTGGTTTGCGAAGTGGTTAATAGGCAGTTTATTACAAGCTTAACCAGGCAGTACAAGCGGGTATTTGATGCAAGCTGGACAGATATTCTTTGCATTGATGCAATCTAGGTCTCAGAAACGGCCCGTGAAATCGAGCACGACGCTAAACTAAATATTTTATTTAGCGGTTTTAGACTGAAGTGCAGGTGCTTCTGGGTGGAAGATGAAGGTACAGTGATAGCCAACAACAATAAAGAGACTTTGCCAAGATCACTAGCGTAATCGTTTATGAGCATGGTAAGTATGATGCTAGGGGCTCACTCTTTTGTACCGGTAGAAATATTTACACGGCTTACTGGGAACTCAGCATTTTGTAGCAAATGAAACGCAGATTTATGAAACTAAAGAAGTCGATTTACGTACATATGGCAAAAATCTGGAGTAAAACCGAAATTACCGCCGCGTAGCGGCGGCGCTCGGCTAGTTGGTAAAACAACGTTAGCGATGATTTCTTGTGGCAGGAGCGATTGCAGTGGAGAAAGGTGCTCCAGCGACTATCCACTGACGTTGATGCACAAATATGTCGGTAGGCGGTGTAAAGCATTTGTCACAAAACTCACATTTGAGTCAAATGTGAATTTGTGCCGGGCTTTTTTTTGCTTTTCCCTGTTTGTTGGCTACATTGCAACCCAACCCAGAAGCAGCGAGATTGTTGGGCTCCTACGCTTCACGTTGGTTCTGAGCTTTTGATTGCAGTCGCGTCCGCATGCAAAGCCATTAATTGACGCTGCCACGTTGGCGGTCCATGTCGTTGCGATTCTGCTTGGACTCACTCGAGACGGTTCCAAGCTGCGAAGTGGAGTGTGTGTGCTGTTGCCTTGCTAGATAGCCGCAGATATGCGCAGTGTGTATGCCATGGAGCGCTCCACCGCCCAGTTCGTAACTAAGGAGACATGAGGTTTCAGGATGGAAACTGTGAAAAACGCAACTTAGGTGGCGTATGTGGACATCATCGCAGCGCGGCTGACATCCGATTGTTCGTAGCAGATCTCAACTCTGTGATACCAGTCGAAGATTCACTGCAACGGACAGCCGCGCAAGCTGCCATACAAAGGCAAATGACGATCGCCACAATGGCGATTGTCTCTGATGATATGCTTACTTTTGGGGGGGGGGTAGAAGGATATGATTGGCGGCTGAGCGCCAAATGTCGATAAATTTGTGTGAAGGCTCGATGTGACGGCTTTTGTCACTCGATCTCAGTATGCACGTTATGCACTTTCGTTCTCGGTTCAGACTCTGCCGCTCGCTCTTTGCTCTGTCATTCTTTCATAAGTCAAGTAGAGGTCTTGACGAAACGTAGCAGTTTTTCAAGCTAGAGCGCGTCGGCGTTCGTTACTACAGTACATATCGAAAACCCAGCTTCAGCTTCCGTCCTCGCCACTTCTTCTTCTCTCCGCTCACTGCCATGCCCTCTGCTGAAGTGGATATCGACAACATCCGCGCTGACCACGCGCCGCTGTCGCCGGATAAATACGCGGCCACAGTGCCGGCCACCAGCAGCACGGCCAGTTTCAAGGCCTACTCCTTGGGCGATGAGGAGGACATTGACGACAGTCAGGTGCCGGCTTCGGCCCCCACGCGTGACTCGTTCGACTACCGCCGTGTACAGCAGGCCAGCAGCTTTGACGTGCAGGAGATGATCAACATGCGTGAGAGCAACGTCCGGGACAGCCTCATGCCGGGCCGCGAGCCCGGCTCCAACCACGACTCAGGCTCCAACAGCGGTGGCAGACCTACGGAAATGGGCAACGCGCTCATGCGCATGGACGAGAGCTACCGTCGAGCATACAACAGCAACCAGCGACCGTCGGCCATGGGTACAACGCCCGACGGTCTGACACCGCTGTTGCAGGCGGCCCGGGCCGGCGACATTGTGCTAGTGAACGCGCTAGTCATCCAGGCCGGCACGGATATCCTCCGACGCGACCCCATGTTCGGCCAGACGGCTCTGCACTTCGCCATTCGAGGTGGCCACCTCAACGTGGTGCAGGCGCTACTCATGCCGCAGTTGCGCGGCTCCATCGTTAATGTAGCCGACAACCGCCGCAACACGGCGTTGCATTTGGCCGCGGCCAAGTCGCGTCGTATGACCAAAGTGCTGTTGGAGTGCGGGGCTGACGTCAACTTCCTCAATATGCGTAACCAGACGCCGTTGGGTGTCCACATTTTGACCGTCACAAGGGATGACCCGACCATGACGGAGATCCTGCTGCAGCACCGCGCGAATGCCAATGCTCCGGTGGATAAATCCACGATTCTGCATGTGGCCCTGGACAAGGGACTGATTCAGGTCGCTACGCGACTTGTGCGCCACGGGGCCAGACTTGACCTTAAGGACGAGTCGGGCAAGACCGTATTCGACAAGGTGGACCAGACCCAGCTCAAGATGCTCATGGCCAAGGTGGCCCACCCACCCGTATGGGTACCGGACAGCGAGCGGTCCGAATGCATGGAGTGTCAGAAGAAATTCGGCAGTCTAGACTCTCGTAGACACCACTGCCGCTTGTGCGGCCGAGTGCTGTGCTCCGCCTGTTCGGCGTGCCACGTGCGGGCCAAGAAACTGCCGTTCCCGGCCCGTCGCCGCGGTAAAAAGAACAAGGCCGAGAAAGGATCGGCCAACACTCGTGTGTGCAATATGTGTTACGAGATCTGTACTGAAGGCGACCTGCGGTTGTCGAACAACGGTGGGTTGGGGGCCCGGGCACACAGCGATACAGCATAACCTGGGGCGTGCCGTGCAAGCGTGAGCTTCTCCGTGTCTCCCGTGCTCTTCTCTCTTATTTTTTCGCCTACGCTTTGGTCCGGATGATGGCTGTTGTTATAGAAGTAGGCATGTGGTCCCAAGAAGCTCTTCCAGACGTGTGGAAACGCAGATACAGACAGGTATACTCTTCTTCATGTACGAGGTAGTGCATGACGTGGCTTTCACGGCGGTGATAAGACCACTACACAAGAAATCATTTCAGTACTCTACTGCACTACTGTAGCTTCGATTAAGTTTCAGCCAGCTTGAGGAAACTCATCGCGCCATGACTTGACCTCTTGTGACTGGATACTTGTTTATGACGCGCATCTCCGTGATGATGGCCATCACTTTTGAACTTACCGAAATGGTATGCGCAGCGTGCAATATTTCTACCGTTAAATGTAGCCTAGATTTCCTCGACAAAGCCAAAGCCGCCCGACTCGGGCCCCGAGTGATCTACTACTGTAGTAGTAAGATTCATCTTGCTTGCCACGTCAGGCCTCGTGTAAGTACAGGTAGCTGCAACTTGCAAGTGCGAGTGCATAGTGTAATAAAATTGAGCACATGAACACACTCTCCGATTCCGTCACTTTCCAGTTGGGCAATAAAATGCCTTGAAACGAGAATTGGTACACTCTCAAAACTTTATTTGTATGATTAATTAATCAGCTATTAATAACCATAAGAGCCGAGTTCTGCAGTTATTAATAGTTGTCAACCGTAGCCATGTGCAGCACAAGGTCAACCAGACGGTTCGAGTAGCCCCACTCATTGTCGTACCAAGCCACAAGCTTCACGAAGTGGTCGTTCAGGGCAATGCAGGCATCAGCGTCGAACGTGCTCGAGTGCTTGTCGTGCAGGAAGTCGTTCGACACCACCTGGTCCTCCGTGTAGCCGAGGATGCCGGCCAGCTCGCCTTCCGAAGCGGCCTTCACAGCGGCCTTGATCGCGTCCATCGACGCAGCCTTCTCCAGACGGCACGTCAGGTCCACCACAGACACATCCGGCGTAGGCACACGGAACGCCATGCCCGTCAGCTTGCCGTTCAGCACAGGCAACACCTTACCCACGGCCTTGGCGGCACCCGTCGACGACGGGATGATGTTCTGGCCGCAGCCACGGCCACCACGCCAGTCCTTGCCGCCCTTAGCAGGGCCGTCCACAGGCAGCTGCGTCGCCGTCGTCGCGTGCACCGTCGTCATCAGACCCTCCACGATGCCGAAATTGTCGTTGATCACCTTGGCCAGCGGCGCAAGGCAGTTCGTCGTGCACGAAGCGTTCGACACCACCGGGGCCGAGCCGTCGTACTCCTTGTGGTTCACACCCATCACGTACATGGGCGTCGAATCCTTTGGCGGGGCCGAGATCACCACCTTCTTGCAGCCACCCTCGATGTGGGACTGGGCCTTCTCAGTCGTCGTGAACACACCAGTCGACTCGCACACGTACGTGGCACCGGCCTTGCCCCACGGGATCTCCGCCGGGTTGCGCGCAGCGAACACGTGGATCACCTCGCCGTTCACAACCAGGTTGCCGTCCTTGGTCTCCACGGAGCCGTCGAACTTGCCGTGGGTCGAGTCGTACTTGAACAGGTACGCCATGTACTCCAGGTCCATGAACGGGTCGTTGATGGCCACAACCTTGGTCTTGGGGTTTTCAATGGCAGCGCGGGCGACGAGACGGCCGATGCGGCCGAAGCCGTTGATACCGATGGCGACTGCTCAGGCATGGTCAGTGTTCGTGTTTCGATAGGAATCTGTATTGCAACGCAAAAGGAAGAATGGGATCTGAATCGACCTTGTAGCGTTGGTTTGAGGGCCTTCGCTGCATGGGTGTGGTGTTGGGTCGTCACTGCGCCGTCGGAGCATTGACACGCGTGAATTATCAGGTCGTCATGTGATGTTGAGTTTTTTCGGCCCAATGATAACACCGATTGCAAAGCTGTGACCTGTGAACAAAGGGCTGTCGGATTACTTTTACAAACGGGTGGAAATGCTCTTACAGGCTGCACGAGCAAGCGTCGAATGGACAAACGTACATGTTTTAAAGTACCGGTAGTAAATACACAGGCCTTTCATGCAACGACAGGAACAGGGCCTTCGGGATGATCCAAGGGATTAAAAACGGATTCGGCCTGACAATTTTGAAGAAAGTGTGGCCAAAGCAAAACAAGGAATCGTTTTGAGGTAACTTAACAGCAGCAAGCTTGTGCTGGTGTTATGCCTACATATACATTCTGCCCCGCGCATGCTACTTGCACTAAAAAAAAGCTGCACTGTTTTAAAGCGGCAGCTTTCGGTGATATAATCACCGCTTGTCCAGTCGTGTAAACTCACTTGTCTGAGCCTCAGGCTTTGTGAGGTGCTCTGCTAGATCGAGCAATGCTAGTGATGGCGCCGTGCACTGAACGGTTGCGCTGAACTCGCCGCTAAAAGTAGCTCAAGCATCAACTCCGCAACAACAATGAAAAAGATGCCGAGCAAACGGTTAGCACATTAGAAGGTATCACCGCACAGTCAGCGTCTTTGCAAGGCGAGGACGACCCTCAAAGCAATATCCAGCGCCACGTTACGGTCGTTGTCTCTCAGGGAGCAACACGCCCAGTATCTCTTACCTTCCGCGTCGCAGTCGAGTGCTTTCGTGCTATAGCCTCATACTCTTGACTCAGAACGTGGGCAGTGGTGACGTAGGGTTCGTCACGGGGGGATTGTTCTCCATGTGTCGATCGCTTCTAAGAGTAGGAGCCATTTAAATGTAAATACACTTAAATGTCAACTTTAGGAAACTAATCAGGAAGTAACGTAACCACGTAGGTGCCGGGCAAAAGGCCGCGACAGGACTGCGGTGTCTGGCGAGGCTGCTCTCCTCTGCTGCTCTCTGACTAGTCGTTCGCCGCCGCTACGCGGCGGAGTGGCATGGTTTGTTGGAGATGAGGTGGCCGCAACTTTAGTGCTTCTTGGTGTCGCGTACTTTGTGAGCGTCGCTCACCCCAGTAGGTCTTGGCTTCGTGTATTTAACCACTTACTATTCCGTAGTCTCATGTGGACCCGTATAATAGCGTGGTTTGGTACCCCGTACTACAGGCTGGATGTTATGTTCTTCAGTGGCCGGCGCTCTTTCCTGCTCATCCCGGCTTCGTGGTTCCTGCTCACCCAGGGCTCACGCTGTTCAGCGGTTATGTCCTCTCTCTTGTGGGTTCATGCGCTTTAGTACGGCCTTTTCGAAAATGCTAACTTTTCTCTGTTCTCAAACGTTTATGTGGGTTGCACTGGCTTCGTGGTAGATACTATTTCGTGGTCGTTGGCCTTCCATCGCCGGTGCTCTAGCCGAAGTGTGCTATTCCGTGGTTTGGTGACTGCATGCAGTCGTGTTGCTCCGTCGCCCGTGTATCGTGCTCTCCAGGTGAGGCTCCATCGACCGCGTTATCACGATATCGTGCAATCGCGGTGTGGTTTTGCTGTATATGGTATTGTGCCCGCGTAGTGCATCTGCGCTGCCCGCGTTATTGTGTTCTACAATGGCATCGTGCTCCACGGTGTACAATCGTCACCCCAAGCCCCCCCCCCGTGTAATTTGTGGCTGGGCCACCGTCCGTGCAGTTGAGTTCTAATGTACTTCTGTCCTCCGTGGCTCGGTAAGCTCAGGTTCAACACTGGTATCGATCTCCGCGGCTCGACGATTTTCTGACTATAGCTCCGCGGCTGCGTTCTCCCATGGTATAGTGGCCCAGACCATACTATCTAGTTATCTTGTGGTGTCCCGGTAGATCTGCCGTTTGTGCTTCGTATTTTACCGTGCTTCGTGGTCTACGTGTTGTATCGTAGGTGATTTCCGTGCTCTGTAGCAGCTACGTGTTCTAGCCCGGTTTTAGGTAGAGAGTCTAACAGAGTCCGTGACTCTTAGTGCTTTCATAGATTTACATGCTAATTGCATCGGCTCGCTTCCGTGCTTTGTAGCTCTGTGTCCATATTTGTTTCCCCTCCATCGTACATACTGTTTCGTACTGCCCTACAAATCCAGTTCGATAAGCTCGCACCTTCTCCTAGGCTCACGCCCTGTCCTAAGCTCCCATACAACGCACCTAAACACGAAAGTAATTGTGACCAATGGAAAACGTTTATTTTTAGCCAATCAGTTTTTCTGGTGATTACGCGGATGTTTGTTGCGCTGGCGAGGATTCCAGCGACGACGGCGGCGATTAATGCGCTCCTGGACAACGCGCCGCGGCGGTTGTGGGGGGCCCATAGCGGCGGCAACTAAGGCCAGGCTTTGTTGGCGCGAATCAGTGACTGGCTTCGGCTCTGGTGTGCGTGGGCGGTGCCAAAACGCCTGGCTGTATGGACCAGAGGCGCACGCGATGCACCTGCGGGCACCCGCCCGAACCTCGCCCTGTGCGAATGCATCCCATGCTAAGAATTGTTCGCAACAGGCGCACAGCCGGAGCTGCAGCCCTAGACCGTCTGGCTCGAGCGGGGGGTGCACAATAACCGCCTGGCACGTCGAGCACATGAGAGGTAAACGTTCCATTGGAGAAATGTTTTATTAGAAACGTTTTTATTAAATTAGTAATATTATTTTTTAAGTATTAAACTAAGTATTTCGAAGTATTGAATTACTACTTTGCTAAAATGCGATTCAGTGGTGTCGCCAGGGCCTAAAAAAATCAACAGCGCCTACGACGATATAATAGTACCGGTGTGCACGTCGGCGAAGCCTACCAATGCAAATTAACCCGCACACACGCAGCGCCCTTTGCGTGAGGTGGCGCTCCAGCGTTAAAAATGGGGGCAAAATGAAATTTGAACGGTGCATTTAAGTACGATGTGCTGACCACATACAGTGTGTACACCACATATTGCAATTTTAGCGAATCGAGGCCGCCTTCACTGCGCTCGGCAGCCAGTAGAACGCGCGTATTAGCGTGAGGATTATTAACCCTAGCCCGTTACGGACGGACTGACGGACGGACGCACACCAGACTCCACTAGGGGGGTAAGATGAGCGGCAGGCGTCAAAACGCAAAGTGTTGAGCAGCCTCCGCCAGAACACCGCTGTACCGCAAAAGTAGATTAGTATACAAATAGCAAATAAGTCAATACTAAACTCTAGATAAATGCACTCTCGTTTGAATACACCATCTTGGCAGCGCACAGCCAACGATGTCCTTGTGCATACAGTCCTTGGTATAGTCCTTCGCCATTGCACGCATGTGTACTCAGTGTAGCCGGTTGTAGTGCAGCCGCAAGCTGCACTGCCAGGCGCATGAGTGTCCTTGGGATGTGTCTTTGCAGACACTGGCAGTGGACGGTGGCTCGTAGATGGGGGCACCGGACACTGGCAGACTGCAATGCACTGGCGCTCGACACGCAGGTAAGTTTTATAGCTCACACTCCCACTTGATCTCGGCGACGCACTTGGAAGTCGACGCGATCACACACGCGCATCCTAGTTGCCGCCATAGTCCTAGTAGTAGCGTAGTCGCAGCTCAAAGACAATAGCAGTCCACTCAGTAACAGTACTCCCACTCGATCGCCCTCGTCTTCATCAATGTCGCTCAGGTACAGCCTCCGCATCAACAGCAGTAGTCAACGCAGTAGCAGTAGTCGTAGTTGTAGCCATGTCCTCGGATACGTTGTCGTCGCTCGACACAATAGGTAAGACTTTCATAGCCTTGCGAAAGTGTGTGAACTTCACCACTGCAAGTGCCTTTGTCATTATATCGGCCACCATATCATCAGTTCCGATGTGTTGGGTTGTAAGTTGCTTCAACTCCACATGGCGTCTGATCATGTGATACTTGTTATCGATATGTTTCGATTTCGAATGTTTGCCAGGTTTCGCAGTTAATGCAATGGCTCCTTGATTGTCTCCCAGTAGTTGAGGTACTGGATGCTTCCAGCTCAACTCTTTGCATAGGCCAGCAAGCCACAGCAAGTCCTTGGTCGCCTCTGCCATTGCTACATACTCAGCTTCACAGGTACTGAGCGCGTTGATTTCTTGCTTGCGAGATGCGTAGGAGATGACGTTGTCGTCCAGCATAGTGATGTAGCCACTGATACTCCGTCGATCCACAGGGTCGCTCGCATAATCGGCATCAGAGTAGCCACTAACTTGCACATCAGTCTGTAGCTTCACATTCATCACTGGTCCGTAGTCACATGTAGCCTTCAGGTAACGCAGCACCCTCTTGGCTTGTGCGAAATGCATATGATCATAGCTCGCAAGATACTTGCCCAGGTGTCGGGTAGCATGAGCTATGTCAGGTCTCGATGCACTAACGAGGTACTGGAGAGCACCCACCAGTTCTCTGTAGGGAAGATACTCCTTCGAAGCAGGCACGTCTGTCTTCGAGGGCGTCGTAGCTTCTGGTGTAGCGCAGCCATTACAGTTCTCCATATGAAAACGCTTCAACACCTCCAGTACGTACTGCTTCTGGCAGTACACTATTTGCCGGCGCGGCCGGTCAATCAGGATATCGACGCCTAAGAGATATTTGACTGTGCCCATCGTCGTGAGCTCGAATGTCTCTTGCAGTGAGGCAGCGATTGTGGCACACAGGTCACGTGAACCCATCAGCAGTAGATCGTCCACGTATACAGTCAATAGCAACTTGACTTCACCATCCTTCCTCAATGCATATAGGCCGTAGTCAGAGTCCGTCCTAGTAAACCCCATCGCAACAAGCTTCGTATGAAGCGTGCGATTCCAAACGTTCGGTGCTTGCTTCAG